AAAGTCAACAGTTGAGGCTTTTGTTTCAAGAACACAGAATACCATCTGCACTTGCCATTCACCAGAAAGGCAGGTTGTTTGATTAAGAGTTAGGAACCCACAAGCAATTTGACAAATCCATCCAAGGCAGTATAAGGAATGGGCTACTTCTCCAGCCTCAAGCTTTCTTTGTGTGGGGCCTAGGAGAGGGCTCCACTGCTTCTTACAAACAGCACGACACAAGTCTGATTCCTAGTGCTGCGCACACGCTGGGCTTGGTTCTGCTATATTGTCTGGGGATCCCCAGGCCCCCCACAGTGTGATCTCTGGAGCAGACACCAGCACTAAAGGTGTACAGGCAGCCAGGCCTGAGAGACAGTACAGGAGGTCAGGCACTCGCCTTGCCTGCTGCTTTGATCCCTGGCACCTCATAAGATCCTCCAAGCACCCCCAAGAGTGACTGCTGAGCATCCCTGGGCACTGCTTGGTGCTTAAACAAACTAACGACAACAAAAAACGAAGTACAGGTACCATGGCTAAGAGTGTGACACTGAGAAGCACATATGTGAGCACCAGAACACAGAGGTGCAGCCCTCGCTAAGCACTGAGCCTGAGTGTGTGAGCACAGCAACCAAATGTGCGCCCCACAGTGAGCACTGCAATCGAAAACAGGAGTTACATAACCAAGCCTGCCTGTGCTCTCTGGTTATTGCAACAGCAACAGTAGCAGGAAAGGGAAGGGGAAAAGGGAACAATTAATTAGCTTTTTAAAGCTAATTGACAATTCTTATTGTCAAATAAACCCAGAAAATAACACAGTCAGACACACAGCCGCTGATTTTTCAACAAATGCCTCACTCTCAGCCCCAACACCAAAAATACTAACATTATCTGCTTCCATTGTTCATTATGTTACTGACTGTGATTTAAGGATCTACCCCATAAAATTCTTAGAATTGTATGCCTGGAAGTCTTTAAATAGTTTGTTTAATGAAAATAAAAACTACATAATCCATTGCACACCTTTATCCCTTTGGCTGCCAGGAAGCCAAGGGAAACAGTTAAGGCAAAGCTAAACCTTTATAATGACTTAATGCTGAATTCTTGGCACAATTACTGTAGTCCTTTGTTCTGTAAGGTTTCCTATGTACCAACTTAATGAACCTTTTGCATGTGTGACTATTATAAAACACACTTCAGATCTTTCCTTGAAAGCAGATGAGGTATCAATTATAAAATTAAATTTCCACTGTCAATTATCAGAGCACTTGCTAAATATACCTGTAATAAAGATGACTGCTTTAAAAAGTATATTCTAGGGTTAGAGTGATAGTACACTTGCACAGAGCTGGGAGTAGACCCCAGCCCCCCTGTTTGTGGCCCAAACTCAGCTGCCAAAAATATATTTATAGAGAGACTTACAAATATACATATACACATATATACTAAAACTGAAGAGACAGTATATGGGTGAAGGCACATGATTTGCATGCGGATGATCCCAGCCCTGAAGGCCCCCAATTCTGGGTAATTAATCGCCGCCTCCCCCCCCCCCCACCTCACAGGATGTACTTAGGCCCTTGCATTAAACCATCAACCTAGTTGGTTAAAAATTGCTGGGAGCTCCCCACCCCAACCAATTTTATATTCTGATATCACATAAGGTTTGAAAAGTCACCAGACATCTTGAGATGATGGTTCAGTAGTATACAGGACTGCCATGTTTGCGTGAGACTGTGAGTTTGATACCCAGTGTGGCCCACATGTGCAAGTGTGGCTCCAGGGACTTTGCTGTTTAGTAGCCCAGACACTGCAATGGAAATGTTTAATCTAGGGGCCACCATAGCCAAATGTGTGTTAATACCGCAGTTGAAAATGTGTGACCCTTGGTAAGAACTGTGTGTGTGCATGACTCCCAAATCATCACCCCAACAAAGGAGGGGAAAATGCATCATTTCACCACCTAATATGATCATTAGTACCATTTTGTGCTATTTTATCAATTATTGGTTGCTGATGATAATCAACCAAACAGTTCAATCATTTCCCAAGTTCAGATTTAGCTCTAAAACTTAGGTTTAAGCACAAAAGGATGTTATGACAAGTCATGCTTTTCGTTTACTTAACAGGGTTACAAGTCAAGTGGTGTATATAAATTTGGACATTGCCTTGCTTTATATGTAGGATTCTAATTTTGCTGATAAAGATCAATCTTCCCCTGCAGTAGTATCATAAAGACTTCCATAAAGCTTTAACAACTCATGAACTAGAAGCACAGAGAGAGCTCAACGAGCTGAGTGCAACTTCACATGTCAGAAGCTTAGGTCTGATCAGACACCACATGGTCCCCTGAGCATAGCCAGGAAGCAATCCCCAGAGTCAGGAGTAGCACCTGAGCACTGCCGGATGTGGTCAACCCCACCCCCCTCTAAAACAACAGAACAAAACTCACAAACTACTCTCAGATTACACAGTTTAGTTAATAAACTCAAAAAATTTCATGTAATTTTTATGGCTCTCTCTATAGGATGATAATTAGGCAGTCAACTCACTGATGGTAGAACAGGTTGTACCTACAACCCAGTTGCTCTTACTACAGATCTATCATTTTCACTCGCCTTCCTCTATAGTTCTCTCATTTATACACACATTGGTGCAATTAATGTTGAACCATATTCCTTTGAGGCAGCTCATTTACATTTATTGCTATTTTGGCTTGGGGGGGTGCACAAGTGGTGCTCAGTTTTACTCCTGGCTCTGTGCTCAGGGATCTCTCCTCAGAAGACCATGTAGCATCAGGGACAGGACCTGGAATTGGTTACATGCAAGTCAAGTGCCCTATCCGCAATACTATTTCTACAGCCCCAGCAGTTAAGCAATAGTTATCAAAGATCTGAAAAAAAAATGTGTGTACCTTTAATCTAGTTAAGTCCCCTTTTAAGGACGTATTCCCTAAGGAACGGTTGAAGAGCTAGCTCAGACTGGGGAGATAGCTCAAAGGACTAGTGCAAATGCTCTGCCTGAGGATGACCTGGGTTTGATCCCAACACCAAATAGTCCCCTGAGCACTGATTGAAATGAGCCTCTGCAGAGCAAAAACAAGCCAGGTTCAATCCCAGACACCCATTTAGTCTCCTGAGCCCTTCCACAAGTGATCCCTGAGAATCCAGAAGCCCTGAGCACCACTGGGTGTGACCCCAAAACAAAAACAAACAAGAAATAACAGCACAAGCTCAAAAAAAGGGAAATTAAATCCATTAAGGATTTATTATCTTAAAATAGCATAGACAAGATAGGTATTTAAATCCATGTAGTCTTAATATTAAGGGGAATATTTACTCAAGTTGCAAGGTAACAGGAAGTTATAAACAACGTACCTCACACTTCTGATAAATTCACAGACACACACCTTTACTAGGTAGATTCCCTTGGGACAACAGTTTGAAAACTACATTCCTCTCCCCACCTTCTTCAAGACAGCCTCAGACTGAGTGTGTGGCATTATACACACGTGGAAGGGTCAATGTGAAGTGGGTGGGAATGATGGTTTTCCCTGTAGAAGCCAGTTCTCTTAAGGAGGTGGGTGGGGGCAAACACACTTTCAATGAAAATCATTCTCCTCCCCTAGTTACATTGTCAATTTTAAAGTTGATCCAGTTTGTCATTCTAGCCCATGAATCATAATGCTGTGGTCTAATAAAGACAACAGCTTGGCGAGGCTCTTTGGACTTAGGGATTGCTTGGTTACAGATGGCATCCGTGTTTGCACTATCATTTACATCACAGCCACTGGCACAATAACCAAGCATCCAGAAGGAAGCTGTCCAGTACAGATGAATGCTTTTATCAGTAGCATCTAAAAATGACAAGCAGAGTGACACATCAGTAATTAAAGAAAGAGGAAACAAAAGAGGTGAGGGGGGAAAATTGCTCAAAGAAATCTGATTTGATCAACGGGGCAAAACAATCCGCCAAAAATTCAGGTACTACTAGATTCTACAGTTAGGTGGAAGGAGGTATTGAAAGGAACGAGTAAACAAACAAGTTATCCCAAAAACAGCTCCAAGGACTGAGGCTGGGAGGGGTGGGGGAGGGGCAGGGATTAAATTTAACTAGCAAGGCATAGAAAAAAAGGAGCTGCAATGCACTGTGGGACCCCTGATCTTCCATCCCATTATCTTTCCTTGGTTATGTTAATTCAAGGATACACAAGAGTCCTAAATTACCCACATGGCGCGCCAAGAGAAGTTAACTAGTTCAGAAAAGACGTTGCTTCTGAGAAGTATGCTTTTGTATATCTGCACCAGCTGCTGGACTGGGGAAGGTCGAGGATTCCTGAATTAAGATCCCCTGAGACTTTCTGAAAGGTTCAAACTGAAACGCTGGAAATCAGTTAATGAATCATTTTGTCCAACTAAATTTAAGCACGACATAAAAATGAGTCGTGAGAAGCCAACACTTGTCAATCTAAGGGGAACAATTTTGGCGTCCTCAGTACATGTCAGTTTCTCTCTGCACCAAATCCAATCCATACCGGTTCAAATTGAAAAGCGGCTCCTTAGACTTTAGGGGAAATAGCAAGAGGACCCCGTCTGCAGTAGGTGCTCTTATGCAAGCTGGTCCAAGAGCTGGAGCGTACCCAGTTCAGCCTGGTGGCTCACCAGTTAAGCTACAAAGCCACGTGTCCCCACGGCGGAGGCTACGCGTCTCTCCCCTCCGTCGCTCAATGCAGCCACCATCCACGCACTGGGTTCTGCACCTCCTGCCTTTAAAGCCGGCAGCTCCGCTCACCGCTCCATCTTGACTCCACCCCAACCACACGGTGGGGATAAACGTAACCTTCCCGAGCGGTAAATAACGGAAAGAGCCCTCGGGGGCACGTTCACCGGGGAGCAGCCCCTTGTCCCTTACCAGCCCATCACAAGTCATGCTGCGGTCCCATCCCCCTACCGTGGCCGCCCAAGTTCCGCTCTCACCGCCTAGGCAGGTGAGATCGAGCGGGGTCCCAACTTTGCCCTTACCAGGTCTCCTGGTTACTGAATTTCTTAGTCACCACCTTGCCTAGCTCCAGGCCCAGGCGGTCGGCAATTTTCTGGGACAAATCCTGGTGGGAGCTGCCGCTGAAGATCTTGATGTTCGGCATCTTGGTCAAGTACCCTAACACTCTTCGTCCACCGATTACTGCTGCTGGAGAAACCCGAACTGAAGTTGGCCCAGACACTCAGTACTAGCCGGTTCGCGTTACCACACCGCCATCTTACATTCCCGCCGGGCGCGCGGCTCTAAAATTGCCGGCCCCACAGGGGGCGGGGTCACCAGAGAAGCTACACCCCTCCTACTTCGGTTGGTCGAGTGATGGTGAAGGGGCGGGACCTCCCGCAATAACTCCGCCTGTTACCGACTTTCAGGTATTAGGCAGAGGACTGAAAGGGGGCGCAGCTAAGAAGTAGCCCCGCCCCTTATAACTAAGCCGCTGGAGAACGCTGACTTAAGAACGCGGAGACAAACCGCGTACGATTGTGGGTGGAGGGATGCTGATGACGTATAGGGCTAGCGCTTGCTTGCAAAGCGGGAAATCAGCCACTTTTATTCCCCCACCCCACCCCGAGCACCAGAAAGTGAGACTCTGGTTTACAATTTCTTCTTCAGAAAATACATTCCACCGGGCCAAAGACACAGTACAAGTGTTTAAACGCTTGCATGCGATCAACACTGGGTGGGTCCGGCACCACAAATGGTCCCCCTGAACACAGAGCCAGGAGTACTCCCTGAACTCTGCCGGATGTGGCCCCAACCCTAACCACCCCTGCCCGCCCCCGCCAAAAAAAGAAAGTAAGTTTTGAGCGGGAGAGTTAGCTCTATGTCCTGAGCACATGCATTGCCTGAAGGAGGCCCAGGTATGGCTTCCAGAGCACCACAGAGGGCAACCCCACCCCTAGTGTAGAACTGAGACGACCCCCAAACACCACCAGGTATGGCCCCAATCGAAAGAAAAAAATATTTCTGGACTGGAGAGATAGTGGGACATATGCTTTGCATGTTGGAGTGTCAAGTTTCTGTTCCAGGCACCGCGAAGTCCCAGAACACCAGGAGTGATCCTGAGAACTCCCCAAAGAAAATCAATCCAGACTCAGTTTCTTAGGGTGTCAGTCACAATGCATTAAAATGACAGAGATTTCTGGGGCTGGAGCAATAGTAGAGTGGGCAGGGCACTTGTCTTATGTGCGGACAATCCAGGTTTGTTTCCGGGCACCCCATATGGTCCAGAAGTGCAGAGCACTGATAAGTGTGGCCCCAAAACTAACTAAATAAATAAAACGAGAAATTTCTGAATATGAATGTACATGTTTCTGAACATAACACCTCTTATTATTAGTTCTTTGTGGGACCAGTATTGGGCCGGGTGCTCAGAGAGCACTTCTGGCCCTGTGCACAGGAAGCAGTCCTGGTGAGCTCAGGGAAACATATGGAGCTCTGAATATAGAACCTGGCTCAGGTGCCTGCAAGCCAAGCACCCTATCTGCTGGACTATTGCTCAGACCCTGATTTATTTATTCCAGAGCTGAATTAAAGTGCTTTTTAAAAAAAAAAAAAACACCAGACACCATAGCATAGGCACATCCAAAGGGCTAACTTTCCCTTTGTAACAAAAGCATACTGATGCGTTTGTTAAAAAGACAAGTCTCAAGGGGCAAGTGACTAAAGGCTTGTCTCCAGAATCATCCAGTTATCTTGCAAAAGAAAGTTGTCTTCACAGTGTTCACAAAAGTGTAAGGGGAACATTGACATATGTAGGCCTTACCTATTCCATGTAAACTCCAAAATATGTAACACAGAATTACTTTAAAAGTGTTATCTACCCAAGAATAGCTGAGATCAGCGCCAGGAGGATTACTCCATAACTTAGAGGCCAGCCGGGTATCCTAGAGGAAAGGGCAGTTCAGATAGAGAAGGGAGCACCAAATTAAGGATGTTTGGAGGATCCTCCCAGGAGGGGAGATGCATGTCGAAAGTAGACTATGGACTGAACATGTTTGCCACTCAATGCCTCTTTTGCAGACCACAACACCCAAAAGGAGAGAGAGAACACAGGGGATTGCCCTGCCACAGAGACAGGGGGGATGGGGGTATGGGGGTGGGAGGGATATTATCCATGGTGGTGGAAAATGGGCACTGGTGGAGGGATGGGTATCTGATCATTGTATAATTGAAACCAAAGCACAAAAAATTGTAAATCTACAACTTTAAAAAAAATAAAATACAATAAAGGGAAAAAAAAAGTGTTATTGATGACAAGTGAGACATAGTTATTACCATAATGAGATCCAAGTACAAAATAAAATTTAAAGCAATATACTTTAGATTCCAGAGTTGAAAAGTTATATATGTAAATGAGAATAGCCATATTTATTTATTTATTTATTTAATTTGCTTTTTGGGTCACACCTGGCGATGCACAGGGGCTCCTGGCTCTGCACTCAGGAATTACCACTGCCGGTGCTCAGGGGCCCATATGGGATGCTGCAAATCAAACCCGGGTCTGCCGTGAACAAGGCAAACACCCTACCCGCTGAACTATTGCTCCAGCCCCGAGAATAGCCATTTTTATATTGCACTAAATGGTTTTAATTTTCTTATTTACACAGGGCAAAACATAAAGTAGCACTGTAGCACTGTCCTCCTGTCATTCATCGATTTGCTCGAGCGGGCCCAGTAATATCTCCATATGGTTCCCTGAGCACCACCAGGAGTAATTCCTGAAGCAAAGCCAGGAGTAACCCTTGTGCATCGCCGGGTATGAACCCCCCCCCCAAAAAAAAAAACCGACAAAAAAAACCATAAAGTACTTTTTAAAATTTTTTTCTTGAATCACTGTAAGATAGATCCTTACAAAGCTGTTCATGATTATATTTCAGTCATACAGTATTCCAGCACCCATCCCTCAACCAGTGTATATTTCACAGCACCAGTGTCCCCAGTTTCCCTCCCATCATCCCCACCCCACGCCTAGCCGTACAGTGTTCCAACAGCCATCCCTCGACCAGTATATATTTCGAACCATCAATATACCAATATCCCCAGTTTTCCTCCTGCCACACCCTTCTCTCAGCCTGTCTCTATGGCAGATACTTTCTCTGTCTCTGTCTCTTTCTACCCCCCCCCCACCCGTCAAGTCCAGAAATTTTTCTTCTTTAGTTTGGGGGCCATACCTAGTGGTGTTTGGGCTTCGTCACAGTTGTATACTAGGGGTAGGTTCACTCCGTGTGGTGCTCTGGGAGTCATACCTGGGCCTCATTCAGGCAATCAGGAAATGGTTGTGCTCAGCCCACAGAGCTAACTCTCTGGCCCAAAATAATAAACTAAAATAAAGCAACTCTTAGGTCTCTTGGAGGCCACTGTATCTTGACAATGCAACAAAGCTTTTATTTTTAATTTTAAATAAACTTTTGCACCATGATTTACAATACTGTTAAAGGTAGGGTTTCATGCCTAGAATGTTTCAGTACCACACCCTCCACCAAAATGTTCATTTCCTGCCACCATTGTCCCAGTGTTTCCCCCAACCCCAACAGTTGAAGCAGAGTTTTTAAATGAAGATTTGCATGGACCTGGTGACGGTGCTGTCTGCATCTATATTCCACCCACCAATTTTCAAGAGAGAAAGTGAATTGAGTCATTATTTGAGTCATTTCTCCTCTGTCAGTTGGTATCACAGAGATTTGTGCTTTGAACCCTCATCAGAAATGGAAGGCTCTTAGGAAGAATTTCAGTGGTTTCAAGCATGTTCTTGGGGGGTGGGGTGAATATAATGCTTAAAGACCTTTTGTTTATTATCTATTAAATTTAAAGAAATTTAAAAATACATCTAGTAATCACTAGTTGATCCTTACTGATTTATTTTCTGTTTATTCTATTTGTCAGTTCTTAAGGTTTTGTTGGAATAAGCAATATAAAATAAATGTGTTAGGTGCTACAGGGGGCAGGTTGGGATTGGGGAGAAACTGGGGATATTGGTGGAGGGAAGGGTCACTGGTGATGTTGGAATATTAGATGCTTGAAATAACTGTATAATGAACAACTTTGTAAACCACGGTGTTTTTAATAAAAATCATTTTTTTAATTTAAAAAGACTTCCTCCCCCAGCTCCCCAATTTTCTAGTAGCTTGGTAGTTATACCCATAAACTGCCCCCCCTCGCACCGCCCTGAGCCATATAATCTCATCAACGGCCACGACCCAGAGACTAATGAAATAAAGCTCCCGGAAGAGAGCAACACAGAACATCCTGACCCTGTGCCAGACTGTTTTCACTGGGGCATCTCGGAGAGGCGGGTTGAGTTTCCCTCCATGCCCCAAGCAGCACCCAAACAGACAAAAACCTTCAGAACCCAACCGTAGTCATGCTCAAGGTCACTCTCCACCAACTTGGATAAGCCTCACCTCCAGAGGAACCTGCTGAAAAACCCAGGTATGCAGGACCCATGACTGAGATCTCCAAGCCTGCCGCCCCCCGCCAAGATCCTCAGTTTTCCAGTAGCTTGGCAGTCACACCCACAAACTGCCCTGGCCCTATATAATCTCATCAATAGCAAAGACCCAGAGAGTATGAAATAAAGCTCCCGGAGAGAGCAACACAGAACATCCTGGAACATATGACCGCATTTGCTTGCTCTTACACTCTAGTCCACTGATGTACCAAAAGTATCACACATTTGTCTGGTTTTAATATACATGCTTGTAATCTCTTATATAAGGGCTTAGATGGCTCCAGGGTGATATACAACAACAATCTTACCAAACTTCCTCTTATGGTGATGGGAAGGTGCATGGTGGTGAAACTGGTGTTTGAACATTATTTGCAATGAACTATTGTGAACAACTTTATGAAAATTAAAATTTAAAAAAGTTTAAAAAGATTTATTTAAAACAAACTGAAAAAATAAAGTTAACTTTGCCTTCTGTAACACTGGCATCAAGATCAAACATGTGAAGAAAGCTGGGGTGTAACTCAGTGGTAGAGTGGCTGCCTTGGATGTGTGAGGCCCTAGGTTTGATTTCTCTTTTTTGTTGAATCACCCTGATATGCACTTACAAAGCTGTCATGATTGAGTTTCAGTCATACAATGTTTGAACATCCTTCCCTCCACTAGTGCGCATTTTCCACCACCAATGTCCCCAGTATCCCTCCCACCACCCCCACCCCATCCCACCCCCTGCCTCTGTGTCAGGCACCTTCCTTCTTACTCTTTCTCTACTTTTGGGCATCATGGTTTGCAATAGAGATACTGAGAGG